GTTGGAGCCAAGATCAAAGCCTGGGTTTCTCGAACCTGGATATCCAAGCACTGGAGGACTGAAATGCTGAAGGTGGCCGTCTTGGCGGTGCCAGACTGAGACTGTACTATGACATCTCTCCCCTTAATTATCTGCTTCATAGCGCGCTGCTGGATTGCTGAAGGCTTCTCAAACCTGTAGGCATAGAGGCCGCTCAGTAAGTCCTCCCGCAGGCCTATGGTGTCGAACGTGGGGGTCATGTCCACCTCCTCGCTGCTCTCGAACTCCACTTTGGTCATGTCCTCCTCTTTGAGCAGCAGCTTTCACGTGGAGCCCGACGTCGCCATCGTGGCTGTGGCCGCCAGGATTCCGAGTCCACTGAGAGGTGAGGAGCACGAGCAGCAGCGGGCTGAACTACAAATTTTTAAAAGTTCAATACAGTGCAATGTAAGGGAGGGGGATTTGATTGGGGGAGGGGGAGGGAAAGGGGAGGCGGTGGTGGGGAAGAGACAAAAATCTTTAATAAATAAATTAAAAAANAATCCAGACCATACACTGCACTTAGATGGCCATGATAGTGCCGTATAACCTTGTTATACTCAAGATCCCAGCACGTCACTTGCTTGTCTTCTCCACAAGAGAACAAGTAGGGGCTCCTCGTGCTCACGATCACACCACGCACCGCGCTGATGTGCCCAGTCAAGGACAGCTTCAATTTGCCACTAGCCAAGTCCCAAATCTTGATAGTTCTGTCGGCAGAGCCAGTAACGAACCACTGATTGCCAGGTTCCACAGCAATGCACCGAACCCAGCCAAGATGCCCACTGATAACCCTATAGAGTTTCCACGGTGGGTGCCACTGGGGTTTGGGCATTGTAGGGGCTTTTTTAGCCATTAATGCAGATTTCTTGGTATTGCCGGCCTCCATGATCACAGAGTTCACCGCTGTGGGCTGGGAACTGACAGAAGCTCCTGGGTGTCGGTACTCCCTCCCAGCAGGTCCAGTACGATTTGCATCAGCTCTGGCCTGATTCGGCAGCACCACAGCTAAGGACTGTGCGGCTGACTCACTGGGCATTCTCTGGACCTTGGTGTCGGCGGTCAGGGCAACACCAGGTCCTGGCGGGTATGGATATGTACCTGTCACCAGGTATTCAACATCTTGTCCTTGATTGGCAGGATACTGTTTACTGGGATATGACTCTGCCGCGTTCTGAGGTCCGTTCTCCGTAAGGTTCTCTTTAGACGTGGGCATATGCAAGACAGGACCATACTCATTACGAAGCTTGATTGCCATCTTCTGCTTGTGACTCTCTTCATCCAATGGCACAGGTTTTCCATTATCAGCTACAAACATGTCATGGGTCCTCTTCAGTGACCTGAACACCAGTGTGTGTACAGAATGCTTCTGGACCTCCTCCACCATAGTCGCTGCGGCTCAGCCAGCTCCTCCAGGGGTTCAACCCGAAGGCCAGAAAAGCAAAACAGCCAGACACCACCACTGACCTCTCCTTCAGTCCGAGTATGGTGGCTCCGAATATGCAACCTGCCTCTAGGAATCCTCAGAATGAGACTGGCTGAGAGCTGTCTCCTCCTGTCTCATATAACCTCTCTAGGGCGGGGAATAAGGGCGTGTACCACTCCCGCCCAGTTTCTATGACAAACTAGTCTGGCTACTTGGATTAAAGGTGTGTGATGCCACTGTCTGATCCGTGAGGCTGACCAAGGTGTTTGTTTTACACTCTGATCTTCAGGCAAGCTTGATTTACTAAAACACAAATGAAATATCACTGCGATAAGCAGTCTGACAGTGTGACCGCCTAGATCTAGTGCCCACCAGGGTACCACAGGCTCCTCTGCCATCTCATCAGTACTGCCTCAGACCAACATCTGAACCCATTCTACTCACCACAACGGGGAAATTATTGCTTTCCAAGTTCACCTGAACTTGGAGTCAAACGTGTATCTATAAATGTCAGAAATCAGAGGTACAGGTCACAGGAAGAAGTGAGGTGGGAAGGAAATGTCCAGCAGATTCGATCTCAGAGCTCATGTGGATGAAGACACATAGAAAACACACCAGGGAGAGCCAAGCCACATTATTTTAAATTAGCTGAGGAGCAGGAATGGCTGGACAGGGAGATGCCTCAGGAAAGAGGGCTCATAGCAGAGGGGATGAGAAGCCTGCCTCAGGTGGAGGCTTCATCTAGATCATCCTTCTTACAAGTCCTTACAAGTCACTCCACAGGACCTTGGAGCCCTGAAGGAACAGATCCTCTCACTCAGGGCTGTGGGCATGGGACTGAGAGCCGCTGGGTTCCAGGCTAGAAAGGGTGTTCTGAAGTTCTAAGAGGAAGTAAAATGACAAACCAACCATTAGCAAGACTGTGATGTGCCTAAAACCAGTCCCTGGACCGTCCTTCAAAGGAAGCACAGGCCTGGTTTGTATGTGTCCACTCACAGGTGGATTCTCACTCAGTACCTGTTTCTGTCCACAAACTGCAATGAATGATGTAATGGAGCTCTTGTAGACCAGGCTGGCCTTGAACTCACAAAAATCTGCTTGCCTTTGCCTCCCTCCTGAGGGTTGTAGTTAAAGGAGTGTGTTACCAGTGCCCAGGCCTTTCCCTCATTTTTAAGAAATTATTACTGTGTTTATGTGAATGTGCCTATGGGGCTCAGAGGGTAATTTCATGGATTTGGATCTCTCACCTTTACATGGGTACCAGGGGTCAAACTCAGTTTAGTATGCTGGTGTAGCACACAGTGCCTTTACCCCACCTCACTGTCCTGTCCTTCTCTTCATCATCTCCTCAGAAACATTCCAAGGAATAAGGAAGGGCTCCCTTGAGCCCTGACTTGGATGATTCTGCCCCTGGATTTTCCAGAGACAGCCAGGAAACACAAAGTTTTAAGAAGAAAGCAGGCAAGCTGGGCACTGGTTGCATAAGTCCACCACTTGGGAGGCAAAGGCAGGAGTTTTTTTGTGAGTTTGAGGTCAACCTGGTCTACACATTTCCAGAACAGGTAGATTTATTTAAAAAATTGTCTTCAGAAAATAAACAAATTAAATAGATCAGGACAGGATTTGTTGCAGGCACCTTTAATTCCCCTATTCAGGGAGCAGAGGCAAGTACTATCTCAATCAGTTCAAGTAGAGCCTACACAGTGAGTTCTAAGGCTAAGGCCTTTTGTTGCTCTTGCAGAAGAGTAGCATTCATCACCCACAAGGCTGGCTGCTCACCCTCTGCTTGCACATAAAAATAAATTGAAGGAAAAGAAAAAGCTTCAATAATGGTAGCTAGACTTAGTGTCAAAATGGCCTCTGTAACTCTGCCTTGCTTTTCCCTTCTCCACAACACATAGCAGGTGTGTGCACACACCCTCAATTTCAGCTGGTTTGCTATCCGAGGAGTAATGTTGCTGCCAGGATTGAAGTGCCAAATTTGCCACCCAGAAAGTCCACTGATTGTGTGCCTACAAGACCTGGCCGCATCACTCTGCTTGAAGGCTTCAATTTCCATTGGCGTGACTGGACCTACTGGGATGCCATGACTCCTGCAGAAGATCTACTTTTCCACCCCACCTGCACAACGTTTGGCCCTATTAGGCTTAGCCCTGCCCTCAGAACACCCTAGCACTACATCTGAGAATTCCAGCAGAGCAGGAAGCTGGCTTAGCCCCAGTGTCTCACCACCTCTCTCCCCAGGCCCTTGATAGCTTTCCCCTGTGGAATCCCAATTTGGTAGATATATTTGGGGTAGAACTTGGGTTTTGAAAAAGCACTCTTTTAGTTTTTCAAAACAAGGTTTCTCTTTGTGGCTATGGCTGTCCTGGAACTCACTCTGTAGACCTGGCTAGCCTCCAATTCTGTGATCTTCCTGCCTCTGCCTCCCGAATGTTGGGATTAAAGATGTGTGAAAGAAACACATTTATTTTGACTATATCCTAAGGCTCGAAAACAGAGTCAAGACTCAATTTACATTGGTCAAGACAAACACATTCAAGACAGACTCAAAATCAGCAGCTGCCTTCAAATATTGGACTCATGCCTGTTATATTTTTGTGTAATACTGCAAGATACTATTTAGAGGTGTGGTTCTCAATCTTCCTAATGCAGTTCCTCATGTTGTGGTAACCCCCAACAATAAAATCACTTTCATTGTTATTGACATAAGTGATTTTGTTGTTTTGAATCATAATGTAAATGTTTCCCCAATGGTCTTAGGCTACCCCTGTGAAAATCTCCTCCAACCACCTAAATGGGTCTTCACCCACAGGCAGAGAATTTCTGATTTAGAGTATCCTAGTGGTATACGTACACCCTTTAAATGGTCACCACCACATACTTTCTTTGGATAGGGGTTTGTCTGTCTTGTTGATTTTCACAAAAAAACCAACTCTTTAGTTATTAATATTGTTTTCTTTGTTCACATTTTATTGATTTCATTCCTCAATGTGGTTATTTCTTGTTGTCTACCTCTCTTGGGTATGATTACTTCTTTTTGTTCTAGAGCTTTCATGTATGCTGCTAAGTTGCTAGTATGCAAGCTCTCCATTTTTTTATGTATGCACTTAGTGCTGTGAACTTTCCTTTTGGCACTGCTTCCATTATGTCCCATAAGTTTGGGTATCTCGTACATATATTTTCATTGAATTTTAGAAACTTTTTAGTTTCTTTTTTTCTTTCTTGGCCATTTTTTTTCATTCAGTAAAGAGTTGCTCAGTTTTATTTATTTTTAAGATTTCAACTGTTTGTGTTGTTTTTGAAATCTGGCTTTAATCCATGGTGATCTGATAAAATACAAGCAATTATTTGAATTTTCTTGTATGTGTTTAGAATTATTTTGAGACCAATATGTGGTCAATTTTGAAGATGTTGCATGAGGTGCTGAGAAGAAGATATATTCTTTGTCTTCATGTGAAATGATTTGTAAATATCTGTGATGTCTATTTTAATTATAACATGTTATTTCTCTGTTTAGTTTTTGTCTGGATGACCTGTCCATTCGTGAAGGTGACATACTTAAGTTTGCCAATGTCAGTTTGTGAGAGTAAATATTTAATTTAAGCTGCAATATTGTTCCTTTTATAAATATGCAAGCTCCCGTGTTTGGAGCATAAATGTTAAAAATTTAAATGAAATCTTCGTGGAAATTTTCCTTCTAACAATATGTAGTGTCTTTCATTATCTCTTTTGATCAATGTTGATTTGAAGTATATTTTGTTAGATTTCAAAACATACATACGTGCTTGCTTCTTAGGTCTATCTATATGCTTTTAATATCCAAAAATATCTTTCCAACTCTTTACCTTGAGGTAATGTCTATCCTTAATATTGAGATATGTTCCTTGTATGCAGCAGAAGAATGAATCCTGTTTTCACATTTTTTTTCTATTAGTATGCCTTTTTTATTGGGGAAATGAGACCATTGATATTGGGAGATATCAATTATCAATGATTGCTTACCCTTGTTATTTTGTTGTTGGTGGTGATGGTTGTGTGGTGGCAGTGTTGTGTGTGTGCACATGCATGTGTATATTTATGTATGTGTGTTTCCTCAATTCTTTTCATTGTTCTTAGAATTGATCTGAGAATATTTATTTCCTGTGTTTTTTATGGGTGTAGTTATTCTTTGGTTGGGGCTGCCTTTGTAGCATCTTCTATAGGGCTAGGCTTATAGATAGATATTATTTAACTTGGACTTTATTATGGAATGGCTTAGTTTCTCCATCTATGGTTATTTAAAGTTTGGCTGGATATAGTATTCTGGGCTAACATCTGTGGTCTCTAAAAGTCTATAGCACAATTTCCCTAGTCCTTCTGTTTTTAGTTTCCAATAAAAAGTCAGGTGCAATTCTAGTACTGTTGCCTTTTTATTTTACTTAATTTTTCCCTACATTATTTAATATTATATCTATGTTTTATAAATTTAGTGTTCTGATTGTTGTGTGTATGATCTGTCTATTTGTTGTTCTGTATACTTTTTGTACCTTTACAGGCATCTATTTTTCTAGGTTAGGAAAATGTTCTGTGATAGATTGAAAATATTTTTTGGGTCTTGGAGCTGGGATTCTTCTTCCTCTATTTATATTATTCTTAAGTTTGGTCTTTCCATATTGTCCAGAATTTTCTAGACATTATGTCCTGAAATTTTAGATATAACATTTTACTTGACCAATATCTTCTAACTCTCTCTTCCATCTCTTATATTTTATAATGAAACTTGCCTCTGAAGTTTCTGATCATATCTTGTATATCTCATTTCCAGAATTCCCTGTTTGTGTTTTCTTTACTGCTTTAATTTTTATTTTCAAGGTTTGAACACTTTTATTCAATTCCTTCAACTGTTTCTTTATCCTTGACTTTTTAAAAGGGAATTTATTAATTGCCTCCAATTGTTTGGTTGTGTTTTCCTGGATTTCTTTATGGGATTTACTTTTTCCCT